CACTGCTTTCACCGCGGGGACCGGGTGGCCGGGGCTTTCCGATCTAAAGCTCTCAGTCGTGTAACAGGCGATGTTGGAATATCGTATTTGTGGAAGCGATGCTGCTTCTTCTGAGAGCTGTCTGTGCTTCGCTTTGCTTTGCTTTGGTGAATAGAATAACCCATCTCCCCCCATTTTCTTCTCCGAGTTGAATACCTTTAGTTTCATTAGGTTTTTTGGAAATAAGAAAACAGAAACTTTAATCGAAGTCATGTTTTGAAATGCACCAAAAAGGGATATTTCGCATGAACTTTATTGTGGTTTTTGGTTCACATTTTGACAACAAATGCAAGCCTTTTAACGTCTTTTGTTCTTAAATTCAGATACTGGAAGACCTTATCTATAGCTATCTCTGTATCTATAAGGTTGTATCTATTCTGGCTCCTTTTAAGTAGATCTGATAGGCATGTTTTCTTGTGTGCAGGCAGTGAAATGTGCATGTCAGTGTATTACGTAAAACCACTTGAACAAACTCAAGTTCACAAGATATCTTCCCAATTCAACAGTGTATACTTATTTAAAAAAAAAACAACCAACCAACTAAACAAAAAAAAGTAGCATCTGGCTTCTCCTCTTAAAACAAAGTGGTAAAGTCTGTAATTTTTCTTGCTTAGTAAGTTTATACAGGCCATTGCTTCAACCTCCAAGTTACATTGCTCTCTTTTATGCATTTACAGCCAACAGACCTGGAAGAAAGACTGTTTTGGAGCTAACTCCTGAGCATTTTGAGATCATTCATCATGAAGTATGTAGTGAAGGAATGGCTCAGAGTAACTACCTTGCTATTCATAGCTCAAGTAGTTTCTGCAGTGGTTCTTCCCAATGCCACACTCTTAGAGAAACTTTTGGAAAAGTACATGGATGAAGATGGTGAGTGGTGGATCGCCAAGCAGAGAGGGAAAAGGGCTATCACAGACAGTGACATGCAAAGTATCTTGGATCTTCATAATAAATTACGGGGTCAGGTGTATCCACCAGCTTCCAATATGGAATATATGGTAAGGAAAACCTGATAATGAAATACAGAAAGAAATGTTCTTCGAATAGTTACTGTCGCTTTATAAACCAGCATATTTTCAGTCTTAGCTTGCTTGTTTTCTCATTTAAAGCACTTGTTACGTGTTTGTCTTTTTTTTGTACAGGGGTGACCTGTGAGATAAAAATGCCTGTTTGTGGATCAAGAGTCATATTCTACTGATATTAAAGGCTTTAATCTGTCATAACTTTCCTGAATCTAAGTGGCAGTTCCTCAGTGTGAGGGGCCAATTTCCAAAATTGCATTACTGAAAACAGTTGATTGTGGCCTAAGAAGTTAGCATCTAAGAAGAGTACTGAACTGTGAATTTTCAAAATAACATGAATTCTCTCCTATGCTTCTAGGTTGGATGGAATTTCTGAGCAAAATGAGGCTCCTATAAGGAGAAAGTCTTCTGTTTAAGTTGGCACGTGTTACTGGAGTCCTGTATGTTCCTGTATTTAACAGATTAATAATGTAATACATAATTTCTGTTTGTGTTTTTCCCTTAACAAACCGAATACAGAGGCTTCTTATTAGTAGACTTAAATGTCCTGTGTTTTGGTACTTTGACTTTATGTCAGACATAAAGGCTAACTCTCTCTCTGCTTGCTAATTAGATCAAATCAGGTCATGAGAGCTTTTAAGAAGTCTGCCAGTCTGACATTCTGTATTCTTGTTTCTGCAGAAAAATTCTGAGTTTCTGCTCAAAACTTTTTTCTGTGTTCACACTGTGTATTATTTATCTGTCCAGGCACGAGAGAAATAGCATTAATATGTTTTAGGTTGTTTATACCAAATATTACATAGGTTTCCTGACACTTTGCATTGTAAGTTTATGTCAGAGGATCATATTAACACATTTCAAGATGGAGATATCTTTCCCAGCTTGCAGTGATGTCCCTCAGCTTGGAGATCTGACTGAACTGAGCGTGTGTGTCCTGGAGAAACCATGCTTGCTTAAACCACCAATAAAGGCAGTTTAACTGAAGTTTACCTAACAAGTGTTACTATAATAGACTAAGAGCCATCAGATAATTAGTTACCACATTTCATCTCTAAACAGAGGGATGATAATGTCTGAAATCCTTTTAACCCTTTCTGTTACAATTGTTTGCACGCATCATTAAACTTTATTTTCTGTTGTGACTTTTTCAGGCCTTGTTATAGGTTACTTTTTTATTTCAAATGACTCAGGTTGATTTATTTCTGGAAAACGTAAGGAAAAGCTGTCCAGCTTTCTTATAAAATGAGAATAGGGAAGACTGTATTGTTTCCCATGTTAAAATACTGCAAATGCCATTCTGCATTTGCCTATGTTACATATCTTGGAAAGAAGAATTTGGGTATACTCACTGGATTTAGGTTTTTGACACCTGTATTCTTCAAAGATTCCTTCTCCTGCACTGCATACATTAGACTTTGTGTTAGGTCTACATATGGAACAATTATTTTATTGTTGTTACTGTTTTATTCTGTGGTCTCCAGTGATCCCTGACCCAGAGTTAATGTAGCATGGAAAAGATACTACCCAATTTTAATGTTAAGGAGATATTCTTATGTCCCTTTATTCAGAATGGGACAGCATTTTTCAAGAGAGTGGGATCAAATTTTGGCATCATATCTAAGGAAATCAGGGATTGGGATGGGCAAGAGTTTGGGCTTTGTGAATGTAATGTGTCTGTGTAAAGTGTCTGGTCAAAGGTGTGGATACATATTCAGAGACTGATCAGAAAGGCGTAGAGAGAGGCTTGAAGCCTGGCCAAGAAGGTGTTGAGAAATCAGTGGTCTGGAGGCATTTGATGAATAGATGTGCTTAGGGGAAGAACTAGGATTCTCTGGGCAGAGAGTTCATGGAGTTCATGGAGGGGAGATAAGAACACAGAAATTTTCTAAGAGTCTATTTAAAAAGACTAAGCCTGGTATTGGATGGGAAGGGAGATTGTACCTGGGGGAAACAGGCAGGAGTCAGTATTAGGAACTGAGAGAGGATGGTTTAGGAGGCGGTAGGAGCACTCCACTGCTTGGACAGAACTAAGAAATGACAGGATTTCTGTTTTTTTTTTGCACGTATATTTTTATGTTTGTGATTGTGTGATTGTCCACCTTCTTTTCTATATGAGGTATCATAAAGGAATTTGGGTTGTTTTACTGTTTAATAAGAGCAAAATTTGAGTACATAATTGTAAATGTGGTGTGCAGCCACGAATTGAACAGTGAAGAAGGAGCAATAAATGATAGCTCATTCAGGAAGCATGATTTGTTTTGTGCAAAGAGATTCCCTTGGAAAAAACAGTATCTGATCATTATCACAGTATATATATACAAGAAATAAATTACAGAGGCAAACTCCATTCTATCATTTCTTAATGTCTGACAGATATAGCTCTATAACTATTACTGCTAGTTTTTTGTCCATAATTAAAACAAATGCCTCTTTTGACACTTAATAGACAACTTTATTTTTCTAGATGCATATGAATAACAGGACAGACAAATTCCACTTTTCTGGATGATAAAGAAATAAACACTCTTGGATCTGGTTTTCCAAGGGTCTGTGACCTCTGGATCAGTTTTGTGAATGACAGAAAGTTCAAACACCCAAGTATTGATAGACCTGTACTTGTCTATTCTTTGTACAATGGGGATAAATGGGGATGTTGAATTAAAAAAAAAAGTTTCAACACATAGACCCATACCACTAAAAGAAAATCCTTGCAATGTAATATATTGGGTCTTACCAGAGGTGAGTTACTGCTCCAGAAGAGGGAAACAATTCCTCTAAATGTTTGCCTGATGTTTAGTGAGCTAGGCAAGTACAGCTGAAATACTTTAGCCTATTTCTAGGGTGCTTTATTAGTATAGAAATGCTGGCAAAAAAAAATAAAAAATAAACCACTCCTGTGGGCATAATCACCTCACTGTAAGCTGCCCCTTGTACTAGTAAAATCTTTCCTTGTAAATAGAGCTGGCTCTGTTTGTGGAAGTGAAGCTTTATGTCTTACTGAATCTGAATGGAGGTGAGCAAGGTCCAGGTGCCTGGCACACTTGTCTCTCTAGAAGTCTGTTACATGGCTGAGAAGTTTAAGGTCTCCGAGAGTGCTTGGGGCTGGGAGGAGGTATGTGGGTGCTGTATGTTCTCATGGCACTGTTAGTATTTAACAACTAAGCTACTAAGCTGGTTGAAATGCCTCTGCTCTACTCCTGTCACTGGCATGTGTCTGAGTTGATAAGACTAATCCAAGTATTTAAAGAATCAGATGTATTTTTTTTCCTCCACTCTTAGTCATGAAACTGGCTGAATCAGATAAGTACCAGTGCTGATAAAAGAGGCTGGGAATGCACAGCTGACGGAGGGATGAGGAGCCACACTTTGAGTCAGTGCTATTGGTTATATGCCTTACTTGCAAAAGTCCAGACTTAGTTTTTAGAGGAACTGCAGGGCTAATGCCACATTTTGGTTTAAGTTTTGCAGAGGAGAAAAACTTAAGAAGTATGGTCTCCAGTATACAAAATCTTAGTTCTATTTCAAAGAAAACAAAAATGTTGAATTACTGATTTTGTACACGCTCCTCTTTTTCTGTACACTCTCCCCTTATTCCTTGAAGAAGAAAAAGGATACTGGGCTATCACAGTTCAGAGACCTAACTGTACTAGCTGCAGTAAGATTCACAGTAGATATGTCTAATGAACAGAATGTTCTTTTGGTTGACTGGATGAACTTACCACAAGAAAAGTTCATCTTCTCAAGCACTGTGGCTCTGGTGGCAAGCAGTAATGGATTCCTAGGGTAAAAGGATAAGAAGAGAGCTTGTGAACAGAGAAACTTCTGCAATGAAACTTCACAACTTCCAGCAAATAGCTTAGGGACTTCCTAAATCTGCTGTTGTACTTACTGTGTCTTAGAATTTTCATTTATGTACCTGAACACTTTGGGGTCCATTTGTATGCTCTGAATCCATGGCACTAAGTTGCACAGCTCTATAAATTTAACTATGCACTGTGTGAAAAAATACTCTTTTTTTTTTGCTTTAAATATATTCTTTTATTTGATGCCTTGTTTTTATTTGTTGTGAGAAATTTCCTCATCTTTGGCCACATCTTTTTCAGATGAAGAGTCGTATTGCTCATATTTGAAACCTGTTCTATCTGAAAAACTATTCCATTTCCTTTTCATTCCCTGTCTGTTATGGTGCGACTGTTTTCCTTTTAATTCAAAGGGACAAACTAAACTGTTGTTAGTTATGACATACCACAAATTGATATAGCTGTGGTTTTCTGGTGTGAGAACCTGCATAAGCTCCTCTGTAGGGAACAGCAGTCCCAACAAATTCAGTTAACTCTGCCGTGGCCTTATATGACCTTATGACTGTACATTTGATCGTTCTTTCCTAGACCTCTTCCTTCAATGCTGTGAAGGTTTTTGATTTGTCAACACTATGACTTCAATAGAAAAAAAACCCCAACTTTCTTGAACAGTTTGTTTTGCAAATGTATGGCAGATACATGCTGTATATGTGTTCATCTTGCCATATGCTGTGCACAAGTGTTTCTTCTTAAAGAAAAGAGAAGGAACATTTTCTTTTTGCCGTGCACAAGAATTTAACAGCCTTGGAAAGAAAGCAGAGAGGGATGATGTTTCCCTGCTGCCCTTTCAAAGCACCCAAACAACACTTAGCAGAGCGTTGTATTAAATACCATGTTTACAATATTTCCCATCCTGGGCCATTGACACCGGTGTGGCCTTCACACCAGATATGCACTTGAGGTACATCTTGAAGATGTGTCTTAGCTAGATGGAAGAGATATCTGAGCTAGTACTTAAAACTGAAGCCAACTGCTGCTGGAAGTAGTCGGTCTGACCAGAGCGGTGTGCTGTGGTGCCTCTCCTGCTCCAGTGGCTGCTCTGGTGCCCCTGCATACTTCTCTGCTGTGCTGGAGCTGTCTGTGCCTGCCTAGCCACCCTTGGCAAGGACCTAGCCT